AACCCGGGCCGCACGCATGCCAGGCGAGCGCGCTACCGCTGAGCCACATCCCCAGCCCCCCCTCATTATTTCTTGCTTTCCAAAATTCCTCCACAATTCTTGCAATTATCCTCCCTTAGATATACTTTTTCATGGCTTGTCAAGATCTTTGGACTTAAATTGTAGCCTTTTAGAATTAACCCATTAAGTGGGAAAATTGTCATGTTTATATATTGAACAAGAAACATATCATCTTATGCATCCTTAAATAGAGTTTATAAATAGAAAGAAACAAAGAGAGAAAAACCTAGTTTTTCCTTTGTGATCAAAAACATAGAGTCTGAGGATGTAGCTCAGTGGTAAAATGCCCAAGGTTCAATTCCCAGTACCAAAAAAAAAAAAAATTAAATATGAGTTTAAGAATTTCTGGAATGTAAGTTTATATGTATTAATTTTAATTGTATATGCAATCTTGATCAAAATAAAATATTGATTACAGTAATATTTTATTTCAAATAATTTAAAGTTAATACATTGAATCCAGAAGAAAGAATTGCAACTTGGTACAATTTTTGGCTGATAAACATTATTACACACATACAAAAAAACACTATGCCCACTATTACTGCCTTCATTCAGAATTGAACCAGGCATCCTAGCAAGCACAATAAGGCAAATAATTAATTGAATAATTAGTTAATTGTTCAAAAGAAAAAAAAAGATTCAAAAGGAAAAATCAAACTATCATTCACAAAAGAATTGAGACATTGAGAGTTAGAAAGCCAGTTTAACAATATTATTTAATGCAAGATCAAAATAAAAATCAGATATTTTAATAAACTAGCAATATGTTTTAGAATTTTTAAAAATATACAATTTAAAAGTATCAAAAAGTTATATAAGATAATGTATGTGCTAATTAGCTATAATTAGTTATTACACACACACATAAATCACAATCAAAGAATCATGCTGTACCAAATAAATACATACAATTTAACGTGTCAATTTAAAACGTAAAAAAAAAAAAATCACATACTCTTGTATGTGATTTTGGAGGAATCTATTTTGTTTTAATTATGGTTTAGAAGATTCAATATTATAAAGATATCCATCTTCTCAAAATCACTCGATCTAAATCACAGGTTTCATTTTTCAAAAATTTAGCCACTGACTTCAAATTAATAAGAAATATTCAAAGGCCAGGAGTTACCAAGACACTTCTGAAGGAGGAGGAGGCGGAGGGAGGTAAGACCTGTTCTCTCAGATAGCAAGACTTATTATTAAATAATTAAGTCAGTCTGGTTTTGACAAAGGATAGGCCAGAACAGAGACCCAGAAAAGCATCAGTACAGATGTGAATACTTGTTTAAAAAGAAAAAAAAAAAAAACAAGTGTTGCTACAGAACAACGAGAAAGGAGTGGCCTTTACGCTAAATTGTGCTGATCCCATTGGACATCCACAAGGAGAAAAAAGAAATCTGGACTCCTGCTTTGCACCATAAATTTGCTAAATGGATTGAAGAGATAAGTGGAATATATGAAAGCATTTGCAGTAACATTAACAAATTGTACTACATAAAATTTAAACACATTCACTAATCCAAAGACACTGTAAAAATTGAAAATATATATACCGATGAGCTGGTAATTCCACCTGAGGTATACACCCAAAGTAAATGTGAGCTCAGGGCCCCCAGAGGCATGTACACAAAGGTTTATAGCAGCATTATTCATGATAGCCCAACCCTAGAACCCAAATGTGCAGCAACAGTAAATGCAAATAAATTATGGAATGTTCATGTAGTTAAAACTCTACACAGCGATGACAACAAAAACAGAAGAATTTTACAAACAAAATTGGGGGAAAAAAGAAGACAATTGGAAAA